CCGGCTGGGGCTAAACCACGACACATTGTTACCTTGTATTAGTGTAAAACCAGTAATAACTATATTATGAATTAGGCTCAATATTTGCTGTTTTTGCCAGCTGCAAATAAAATCTAAATCTCAAAATCCACTGATACCCATACCCGTATACCCAGAAAGCTATACTTGCGTCTTTCTCTGTATGCTGTTTATCTTTCTTCTCTTGCTTGGCTTCCTAGATACAAAGCCAGTAACAATAGCACTACATTACATGTTTTTAGCTCTTCACATAGAACTGATGTAGAGCAAGAGATGATGTTTAAGGAGCTGAGCTACTAACAGTTGGTTATCGAGTGAATGAAGCAAGCTAATGTTCAATACAACAAAAGCCTACACACAAATCTTACTTTTCTTCTATGTCACGAAGCAAAAATTTAGAAGTTACCTCATGCTCTCTTCCAGAGAGAAGGCTAAAAGTTTTTATATTCCTATAGTTAGGTACATTTTAGGCAAGAGTCAAGTAATGCTGCAGCTTACTTAAAGATACCTGTTTACTGTAAGACGTACATATAGCCATAATAAAAGCTCCATTCACAAGGTATGCGGGATGGACTGAATGTTAGAAGTCCACATTTTTCATAGCTCCTGGACAAAAAGCAACATGATCTGTATTACCTAAATACTTAGTTATATGATAAACTGTGCCTGAAGTAGACATAAAGATTGATATTTGTATTTAATTATTTTTGGACCTACACATTTTGTTCCACACTTGAGTGATGCTACTGTGGGTGCTATAAAACCTAAAGAAATTATAGAACGGTGCACATTACTGACATGGAAAGAAACAGATTTGATGATTTATCTGTCCAAATAAAATATAAATTGTTTAGAGATTTAAAGATGCACTGGATAACACTGACATTATCAAAACCCATAGCAGTTCATTACTTCTGCTGACAATAACCTTCAAGGTTACGTATTTTTACCTGCAATACTCAGAAATCAGCAGCAAGCTTAATTTGGATTCTGTCCTGCACAGGAACTGTTTCCAAATACCAAGGTCTTGTGCTGTAGAGAGTGATCCTGAGTGAAATGCCTTCCAGAATGAGACAGAAGGGCAGGATAGCTTGCATCTACATCGATGAAAAGAACTTTACATTTGAAAATGGTAAATATTTTAAGGTTCCCTTACCAAAAAAAAAAAAAAAAATCGATGACACTTATTCTTAATAGGAAAAAATTCTAGTCTTGGACCAGCTACCAAGAAAATCCCATATACCCAGACAGAAGCCCTGCCTTGAAAATCCAAAATCCCAGTCAGATTTAGCTATGGTCAAAGAGGACCATAATGGGGGTTGGTAATCCCTTTAGCCACTGCAGCTAAATCCATCAGGAATGAGGAATCTTCGACGGATTCACAGCCTTGCAGGAGCTGGGTTAATGGCAGGCTGTGCTGCAGCGGCGGCAGCAAGGCTTCATCCCTTCTGCTGTTTTTGTGGATTCTACTTTAAGCCGACGGGTGGTAGTACAGCCTAAAGATGGTAGTACCGACGCCAGCTCCAGCTGAGCTTGCAGATTTAGGGACTTTTCTTTACCTTCTTGCTTGAGGTTATCTACTCACAAACTTTTAATGCTGGTCATCTTTATGATTTTGCAAACCAGTATAAGCAGTATTCAAATTATTCGTGATGATCAATGTCTTCAAAGTGCTAAGCAACAAGCAAAGCAGAAAAAAGGGAAAGAAAAGGTACTGCTCATGGGCAGACAGAATGCAGTCACCTGTAGATACATAGTTTGAGAAAGAAAAACTGAAATCATGCCTTTGGAATTGTGTCAGACAAAAAGATAAGACAGGAAAAACAAAGTATCCTGTCTAAAATCCACATGAAAGACTCAAATCATCATTTAATTTTGTCAATTTTAATATTGGCCGTACATTATCTGATGGACTATTAGTTTAAGGAAAAGAAAAAAAGACATTAAAATTATGTAAATAGTCCTATGTTTTCAGTCAAATGTTCTATCTATATATTGAATAGTCTTTAAAAAAAGTACATTGAAAATACAGGTATATAAATGAGCTGACAGAGCTAAGAAAATTAACTGAATCTTAGCAAGGATTCTGTTACAGGTTCTGAGTGAAAAGACAAAGGGACAGAATTCATAGGGTGGGAAAAAGGCATTTGCTGAGCATCAATGAAGAAAAAAAAGGTAAGTTTACAGCTTGATTTATCATCTCCCACTGTTCAGAAGCTGTAGGTTTCTTGAGAATGGCATCATTCTTGCGAATGATGCCTACATTATTTAAAAATAAATTATTTGCCATCTGTTTCTTACAGGTGACACTGTCAGGATTTTCTTTACAAGCAAGTGGTCTAGAAAGCAACCTTTAAAAAAAGAAAAAGCAATAGTTGAAATTCCCGCAATCCTAGGACTTTAAAACTGAGAGCTGGCACTAAGTATGACAGGAGCATCTGAAATGTTTCTCTGAATGTGAATCAGTCTAAAAGATTTGCAGAGAACTGCAAACTGGCAGAAGAGCTGGTTCAGATTGATTCATACAAAAAAAGAAAAAGAAAAAAAAATAGAATGGGAAGAGCCTCATGCAGGAACAGAAGAGGCAGAAAATAGCATAGCCAGGAAATAAGCCAGGGCAAACGCTAAGGTCTAAACTTGTGGTGACAGAGCTTTGAGCAGCATGAACACATGAGGGCAAGGTCCCTCAACTGGGGATTATGAATAAAGATCCACAACAGACCTGACACACACATGTGATTTTGTTATTTGTTCACGGTTTAGGAGCTTTTTTTCTTTTTTGCCTCAGGGTGCACTACTCCAAAGAACACAGTTTTAGGAGGGGCTTTAGCTGTACTAGAAGAACTGTGAAAGGACAGTCCGGACCAGGTCACCATTACTGCCTTTCATGAAAGCAGTAGGACTTGCAGGTGGAGTTAGCCAGACCATTGGACTGTTCTGGCTAACAATCAGTTCTGGAAGCCAAGTAGTCCAGCCCCAGCATTGATGTCCCACCCACAGGCGTGAGCGCTGACACCCCTCTACTCCCAGCCATCCCCTCAAGAAGGCAAGCAAAGCACTTTCCCTGGCAGTGTCACCAGGGAAGTGTGCAGCCACAGTGATGCCTACTATGGAACTAGCATATTTTAGCAGTTTTCCTCATGCTTCTTTGATTAGCCCTTTGGTCTACAGGGATGGCTTTGCAATTTGATTGGAAGCATAGAGGGAAAGAAGAGTGAAAAAATTAGACGCTTGGAATAGCCTTCTCGTTGTCACTGCAGAGATGTCTGTGTGCTGTGTGTCCTGCTCAGATGCCTACTTTCAGTAGTGTTTTATCAACTCCAATACAGCGATTCAATTCCTACTGATAAGCAGTGCCCTCGTTCTTGGTGTCAGTGGTTGCTCGGAATGTTTTTTGGAAGTGTGCCTGTTGCATCTAAAATCCAGTGTATCGGAAGACTGTTAAGGGATAAAATATTTATTGAGGGGAAAAATACTAAACAATATAATTGAACAAAAATAGTGTTTTCTTTCTGGATTTATTACTTCGACTTTTCCTGTATTTAATTGTGTCTCTGTAGTCAAAGGAAGGAAAATACAAAGCGGTAATGCCAGAGAAATCTTGCCTAAGGACAATCAACTGATGTTTTTAGCTAACAAGGTAGATGAGCAGTGCTGTTGCAGACTCATTGCATGTACCAGTGAGATAAGTCAAGACTGACAAGTGAGTTGGATGAAATTATGAGAAGTACATAAAATCAACAATAGAAAGAGATCAGCCAAAGCAGGGCAAGATGATATTTCAGTGCCCATCTCAGCATTCTGGCAGTCATTAGTTTGCACCATATAACTGTCTCTGAGTGTGAAATGGATTCTTTTTGGATCAAATTTAGCCAGAAACTTGCTCCAGGAGTTTATCTGACATGCCACAGCTGCTGTTGGATATTCATTCCATGCTGCTGTCCTTGAGCTAGTCTTAGGTCAAGGTGAATCTCAATGAAACATTTAGCATGAACACCAGGTTTCTCCTTACAAATCTGCCCCTGCTGTGCTGAACTACTTGATAAGACAGGTATAGACCCAGCATGGTAAACAGCACTCTTCAGGGGTAGGAAGACTGAAATAAAGCTCTGTGATGAATTACAGAATCATAGAAGAGTTGGAAGGGACCTTTAAAGGTCATCTAGTCCAACCCCCCTGCAGTGAGCAGGGACACCTTCAACTAGAGGAGATTGCTCAGAGCCCCGTCCAGCCTGACCTGGAATGCCCAGGGATGGGGCATTTACCACCTCTCTGGGCAACCTGTGCCAGAGTTTCACCACCCGCATTGTGAAGAACTTCTTCCTTATATCTAGTCGAAATCTGCCCTCTTTTAGTTTAAAACCATTACCCCTTGTCCTATTGCAGGTGAGGCAGGACTTGCCCTTGGTGAAGCCATGCTGGCTGTCTCAAATCACCTCCCTACCCTCTGTGTGCCTTAGTATAGCTTCTAGGAAGATCTGTTCCATGATATTCCCAGGCATGGAGGTGAGGCTAACAGGTCAGTAGTCCCCAAGGTCCTCCTTGCTACCCTGAATGCAGATGTGATGGTGCTGGAGCTTATATTTGAGAACTTGAATGGGTCGCTAATATGGAAATGAAATTCATGCAGGGGAATTGTGAAGAAAAGAGCCTGATACGAAGGTCAGGTAGGAAAGCTGCTGGCGAGGAGATGATGGAGCAGTGACACGGAAGAACAGATACAGGTCCCTCTAGCTGAACTCAGACATAATAAGGAAGTATACAAGAGGTGGAAGGAGGGACAGGTGACCCAGTGGGACGATAGACCTGCTCTTTGATCTTGCAGGGATAAGGTTAGGAAAGCCAAGTCCAATCTGGACTTGAATCTGGTGAAAGGCAACTTCTACAAGTGCATAAAGAGCACAAGGAAGACCAGGGGAAATGTGTCCCAGTGCTGAATGCAGCGGGGTCCTGGTGACACAGGAGACAGAAAAGGCCGAGGTACTCGATGCCTTCTGTGCCTTGGTCTTTACTGGTAAGTCTTTTATGGGCTTGCCAGTACAAGAAATATATGGACATACTGGAGTGAGTCCAGTACAGAGCCACAAAAACAATTATGGAACTGGAGCATCTCCCGTGTGAGGGGAGGCTGAGAGAGCGGGGACTGTTCAACCTGGAGGAGAGAAGGCTCAAGGGGGATCTCATCCGCGTGTATAAATACCTGAAGGGAGGGGATGAAGGAAAAGGAGACAGACACTTCTCAGCAGTGCCCACTGGTAGGACAAGAGGCAACGTGTGCAGAAATAAAACCTCCTTGCCAAAGCACCTTCTCTGCTGCATCCCACATCCCTTTTTTTTTACCTTTGTTCCCACAAACACAGTCATTAGCCATCTGTGTTGCTCATCATCTTGTACTAATGTCTGTAATTTCCCTTTCCATGATCTCTTCCATTGGCTGAAGAATCATAGAATCGTAGAATGGTTTGGGTTGGAAGGGACATTAAAGATCATCTAGTTCCAATCCCCCTGCCATGGGCAGGGACACCTTCCTCTAGATCAGGTTGCTCAGAGCCCTGTTGTTTGTGTATGAAGCTTCCATGCCCTTGTTGCCTTTCTCTGATCTTTTTCTACTTCTGCTGTATGCTTTTTGAGATCAGGAAGCCAGGACTGGCTGTGTAATTCAAGGCAGAAGCAAATCAGAGGCTTAAACAGGACCACAATCACTCTGCCTTCTTTTTTTGTTTCTTCTCTAGTTATTCCCAATGTCGGATGTGCTTTTTTGTCCTCTTCTGAACATCTAAACCAATGTTTTCAGGACCTATCATAATTGTGTGATCTCATTCATGAGTGACTGCTGAAATGTACTTTCTGACTCATAAAGTGGTTCATCTACAAGGATATTTTAATGTAAGGGCTAAATACATGTCTGTTAAGCAGGAGGTGCTCCCAGTTAGTAGGATGATGGTTTTGCTAAAACAAAGGTTACTGCATATGTGGATCTGATATAAAAAGTAGCAGGTTGCGGGGCTATGCACAAGAAGGCAAAATCGCAGATGCTGTGGAGTCAGCGTGTTTACGTATGGATATACCTCTACCGGAGGTCAGCAGCCGGCCTCGTCCTCTGACTGCTGTGTGCATTTCTGCTCACCTGGGCTGTCACTGGACTTTTCTTATCATTTCCACAGAGCAGCAGTCCTGGAAAAATGGTGTTCAACCTCGGCCCAAGGTACTGTGCTGGAACGGAGAGCCTGTAAAGTGTCGTAACACCATGCGCCAGGTACTTACTGTTCAGCCCACCGCAGCCTCGGAAGAGAGAGGTAACGCTTTCTAAGACTGACAGGAGCCCTCTTCCTCTTGAATGTCCTCAGATACTTTTTTGAGCCAGAAGTCCTTCCAGGGTACCGTCTCCTCCCTCTCTTTACCTTAACCCCTCCGTACCCCAAGGCTGAGCTCACCCCAGCCTGTTAGGGAGCAGCAGGGGCTCCACGTCCTTCTCCGTGGCGGGGTGCAGGGGAAGCACTCTGAGCATCCACGGGGGTGGGAAGTGACGCTCCTTCTGCAGGTTGCGTTATATTGTCTTTTTTCTCCTGCTTGGAGCTAGTGGAGAACAACCATACTGAGGGTTTCCCTCTGATTCTTTTCTGAAGGTAGAACCCAGGTAGTTTGGTCCATGTTGAGAAACATCTTGAGGCTGAAGTGGGCATTTCACTGCCCTGCTCTGCTGAGATTTGTGACTTGTGCTCTCAGACAGGGCCAAGGACTGAGCCTGATGTCAGCTGGGGAGGGTGCTGGGCCTCTCTAGAGAAAGGCAGTGCCTGTGCCACACTCTCCCTTGGACAACAGTATTCCCACATTTTGTCCCCAAAACCGTTGCTTTGCATCCAGCCCTAAAGACTGTTGTTGGTGATTAATCACGCATTACTTTTATCCTGCAATGTGTAGGAAGAAGTGAAAGTCAATAACTACTCTGCAGTGACAGTCTCCTGTTTTTCTGGGACGGTTCTGTGGATGTGGCCACCTGGCAACAGCACCGAGCTGAGAGAAGAGGAACAGCCTTGTTTTCTACTCACACTCTTTTCAGCTCAGCTCTTTTCGTTCTCTTCAGCATCTGAGAGTTATGGTCACACTAGAAAACAGAGATGAATATCTGCTCTTGTAAGGGAATTAACATCTCCAGCTGTGTTAAAGTTGAATTTTTGTGACCTGCGACACAGCCTGTATTACTTTGTTTAATTTGGGTGAAATGGCAATACCCGTTTTGGGTCCCACAAGCAAAGTCTGGCGAAAACGGAACAGGAGTGTTATTCTCAAATATTCCACCCTCATTTTTGCCCCATGTTCCTTTTACCCAGTATGCATTGATAGTCTGGTGCATTGTTCTATTGTTTACTCATGGTTCTTATCACCATATATGATGTTATTAATATGTGGTGTTACTCATATATGATCTAGTCATATTCATATGAATGCTGTTGGCCCTTAGGGTCACTTGTTAAGAGTCTCCGGGGAGAACAGGTTTGTTGTATTTAGTTTTGCTCACAAACTTTTTCTACGCATGGTTTGACTTGTGGAGACGCTGCTTAGTGTTGTGCTTAACAGAAGGCTGGGAGGCATACACACCTCCTGGGCAGGGCTTCGCTACGGGGGCCTTGTCATACGCCTGTCCCGCTCTGCGCCAGCACCTGGTTCGTACCGACTGGTGGAATGAGTGGATGATGACAGGCATTCGCGTCCTTGGACCCATCAGGGCGTCCACATGTGAAAAGGTTCATCTCGGGCCTTCCTAAATGTGTCTGAACCTGCCTGCCAGCAGCTGGGGTTCCGCATAGGCGGCAGCTGGCCAGCTGTTACCTCATCACCTGCGCTGCCGCTGGAAGAGAAGTCTGCCGGCTGGCAGCCAGGATGCTGCTGGGGCCCTTGCAACAGGCACGCGGCTGGTGCAGCGTCCTGCTGCGGTGGGTTCTCTTGCCGGGTGGGGACGGGGCTCAGCTGTGTGGGGGCAGACCTCTGGGACACCAGCCGGTAACCTGGGGTCTGCCTGGCGTTTCTTGCCCTCTCTAACAGACCTCTGCTTAGTCCTGAGTCCCTGCGGGCCTAGCCATGCGTAGCTGGCTGGTGGAAGCTACCGGAAGAACACGGGAGGCTGTCAGCGCGTGGCTGTGAAGACTACGCGTTGCGAGACAACAGGCAGCACGACCCCGGCGGGGCCTGGAAGCCCACACTGCCGGTTCCACCACGCTGGCCTTGCCGGCTCCACGTGCCCCGAGGCAACCCGGGGGCTACCGCAGGAGTGCCTGGGGCTACCCGGGGCTGATCACGGTGCGAACAGGCAGTCGCCCAGGGCAGGCTGGGGGACGGTGAAGAGAAGCTGCTGGTGGGAAGGGGTGCAGGAAGCTTCCAGAGGAGACGGGAAAGCAAAGCAGGGGAAGGATGTGGGTTCACGTACGGTATCACCGGAGGAGGTTATGAGGCCGTGAGCATTAGGGTCGGTCACGTCAAGGTAAAGAGAAGGGGCTGGTGCGGATGGGTGAAATGGATTTGCTTTGGTGGGAGAAAAGGGGAGATAGGGTAGAAAGAGGAATCCGTTTTGTCGTCTGAACGCCACACACCCAGTCTGCCGCCAAAATTTTAGCTGCAGATTTTCGGGATGCAGATGAAATAGCTCTGCTGCAGATGGATTGTCTCTAACTCCCTGATTGTTATGATTCAAGCACTTCCTTTCAAATTGCATTTTTCCTTCTTATGTGCTTTATCACCTATTTCCAGAAAGAATATTTGTAACACCAGTCTTTAGTAGTTAAGTGTTACTTTTTCTAGCCAGCTGTTTTCGTTCTGTTTTCCTTTTAGTATAAAGATGGAACAATTAAAAACGACTCAATCCACATTGTTCTTTTTTTTGCATCTTTTCCAGAAATGTTTAGTAGGTGTTGCTACAGGAGGCAGAACACTGGACTCGGGTCTAGTTGTGTCAGGGCATTTCTGTTTCTGTAAGATCGTTTCCAGTGCCCACTATTGGCTAATAGCAATGCCATCTTAGCATTTTCTTTGTGTAAAGGAATCATGCAGTAATTTAACAAGCATGCATTCGGAGGTGCTCTGATCCATCATCAAGCAAATGGGAAATCCCATTTGTTTCCACTCAGATGTCAGTAAGTTTGATACTACCTGAAACCGGTAAAAGGGTATTAATGATTTACAGTTTGCAAATTTCCCTAAGCAGTGGCTTTTATTTAATCACCATCCTTATTTTCAAAGACTTGATTACATTCTTAGTTATTAGTGTACATGCTTCCTCCAAATTTCCATCTGATAAGATCAGCAGTATTTGTTAGTGTGGAAATTTCATCAGGTAATGTTAAAATGCTAAAAAAGCCCAGCTCCCCCCTTCCTCTCTGTTTTTGTGTGTCATCTCATCTTACATTGCTTTCCAGTCTCTGATGAGTCATTGCATTTACTTTGTACTCATACTTTTCGCATTTCACGCCTGAGCAGTGTTTTTGATTTCCTTGTTTTCTCATCAGCAAAAGCACCATTTTTTTTCCTCTAGGTAACACCAGATTTTTTGCCAGGTCAGAGAAACCCTCTTTTCCACGTTATGGCTGCGCAGGATGTTGTGAACATCACATGCAGGTGTCTCTGGTCACTTTTGAAGATCTTTATGCTGTTTCCTTAGTAGCAGTCCAGGTCCCGAGGGGATGTCGCTTTATCACACAGCTGAATATTATAAAGATCATAATATATATATATAATATAAAGAAACATAAACAGCATAAAATACAGCAATCAACTATGAGGATATAAACGAACATTTCAAATAACAGAGACTCCCAGCTATGCAAATTTGAACTCCCTTCTGCTCCTTGTCATGGCCGTAGGGTGGCACAGGGGTTTGCTGAGCCCTGACGCGTGTCCTAGGAGGGGTACAGCCCGGTATTTCAAGTTTAGCAGCACATTTTTGCTGCCTGCCTGGCTACCAGCGAAGGGGAGATGAGGGGGATCCCACGCCCTGCGGTTTCCTCCTCCGGGTGGTGATCG